CCCATGGCTCCAGTCCTGGCTGGGCTGGAAGGAAGGCCTCATTGGGGGTGGATTTTCAGACTCAGGAAACGCTCCAAGTGGACTCCTACTCATGGAAGCCAGACAGATGTGTCAATCCCAGAACCCAAGGTCAGATACAGTCAAGTCAGGCTGACATTGAACATAGCACTTTCTACATGGGTAACGGTGGGCTCCTTCAGGTACCCCAACTCTTAGAGAAAGGATGGTTCCTAGAGTCTCGGGTAGAGCCATCCCAAGGTGTGCAAATCATCTTACCTGTGTCTGTTTATCCAAGTAGTATGGAAACCGAGGCACCATTGCAGATGCTCCTGGCTTTGACCCTTTGCGAGATGCCGAAGTCCTACGGAAGGCCATGAAGGGCTTTGGTGAGAGAACCAGGGGGCTCAACACCCCCTCCCCTGCTCAGTCTCCATCCCCTAGGCAGTTAGTTACATGGGGCTCTGTGGGCCGGGATAGCTGGCAGGGGTGGCCATAGAGGTAGCGGTTGGGATACTCAGGATTCTAGGGAAAAAACCCAGGAACATCTGCACCTGATTGTGTGACCCCCACCCCGCCCACCCCTTCTTCCTCCAGGGACTGATGAGCAGGCCATCATCGACTGCCTGGGGAGTCGCTCCAACAAGCAGCGGCAGCAGATCCTCCTGTCCTTTAAGACTGCGTATGGGAAAGTGAGTGGACTTTGCCAACCTATGTTGAGGTGGGGGAGGTGTGGGGGGTGGGGGGTGGACACCTCAGCCCAGGCCAGCCCCACTCAGCCCTGTTTTCTTGGACTGAACAAGCCAGTCTCCTGCACAGAGTCCCTTCCTGGTGTCCCCAGCAAGGAACCTCGCGACTGATGGCAACTTTTAGAATTGCAAGTTGTCCTGAGGGAGAAACCGCAAAGGTCATATAGTAGGGAGGTTGGGTGAAATTGATGGAGGAGATCTGGGGTCTAGCCCTGACTCTACCACAGCTTGCTGAGCCATGGCCAAGTCATTCCTTACCCAATCCACCCATAAGTCTGTTTTCCCATCTATCAAACCAGCCCCTTCACAACTACCCTAAGATTCTTAGCCAGTATGAGAGCTGTGAAGGAAATGGCTCTGAGTATCGAACAAATGCAAGGCAGATGTATTTTGATCTTTGGAGTTTTTGAATCTTTCCAACCAAATCAAACTAACTGCCACCAAGTCGATTATAACTCATAGCCCCTGTATAGGACCAGGTAGAATGGCCCCGGTGAGTTTCCGAGACCATCTCTCTTCCTGGGAGTAGAAAGCCTTGTTTTGCTCCCTCGGAGAGCTTGGTGTTTTCAAACTGCTGACCTTGCAGTTAACAGCCCACTGCCTAGCCACTGTGCCACCAGGGCTCCTCCTTTTTTTGGAAGTGGGTAAGTATTAGCTAGGTTAGTGCTCTAACCCGGGCTTCCTGTTAAAATTCAGACTCTGAGTCAGCAGGTGTGAAGTGGGGCCTGAGATTAGACTTTGCTACCAGACCCCTAGGTGTTGCTGGTATCCAAATCTGTGGGGTTAAGGGGAAAAGGGAACCCCACAAAACATCACAGGTTCGGTAGGTGCAATTGTACAGCGATAATAAGTAGAGATTATAGTAAAGTCATAGAGAGCATGAGAGTTAAAGGAT